TCGTGAGGTGGATGAATGAATGCATAGAATAAATGAGGGTTCATATGAAACTTCTTTGGGATCCTTGTACACTCTTCTTTAGCTAAGACTCATTTCACCATGTAATCTAAGTACTAGACAACTATTTTCTTTAGTTACTGTGTGTTTCTTTTTCTTCTTTCTCTCCGATGGTGGTACTTTTTTCTTCTTCTTTTCCCTTGCCCATTGTGGATTGGCCATGCAGGGAAGATGGCACTACTATAAAAGGGCCTCATAGAAGAACTGGGTCTTGAATTCAGTCCTGAACAAGGTCAGACTCTGTCTGAACTCTTCTAGTAAACTGTTTCATAGCTAGAGTCTCTCAACGCTCAGAATATTCTGCTCTCTATTTCCAAAAGTCTGAATCTGGACCTGAGTGGCTGCACTTTCATTGTTAGAGCATCATAGACATTCATTCATAATCCATCATGACAGTCTCTGAGATACCTTGTCTAGCCTATTAAATGCCTTGTGTATTTGGACTTCTTATTAAATAGATAGGTAGCCAGTGGAATTTAGAGTATTGGTAGTGGGCAGCCACTTGCTTTAATTTTTGGACGGTCTTTGCCTTTAAGCCCACGTAGGTGAGTTGTAGTAGTCTAGTCTAGAGCTTGAAAACTGACTAATATGAAGCTGAGACTGCCTTATCATTTGCCATGACCATCTTAGCAATATAGGAAGGGCAAGGAATTGAAGTGTGTGTGAATACTAAAAGGTGGGGAGTAAGGGTAGGATTTAAAAAGCACTGGCCTAATTCTATTTCCTATTTCACTGTTGACTTCAGTGGGAGCAAAGTTAGGCCAGTTTTGAGCGCCCTTCTGAAGTTTCATAATGCTTTTTGATTAATTGGATATAAACTTTATATGACAGCCTGTGTTGATTTGTATAGTTGTATATCTGTTCCATACAGTTGTTGTTAACTTCAAAATTTACTCAGTTCAACCTGTGAAAGCATTGATCGCCAGCTGTGGGTTAGTTTGGCTTCTTGAGATTTGTGAGGCAGCCCCTGCAGCTGGCTATTTACACAGCATTTTTGAAATATTACTGTCGTCTTGTATTGCAGAGGGAATCTATATTTGTTTGACTGTAGTTCGTTAATCATTTTCAACAATAGCTCAGGCTCTAACTCTAGAGTTTTTCTTTGTGTTGTCATCATAGGATAGCACTGTGGTAGTGTTAGATATTTGTATGTAATTCTAATGTACTATTTTGAAGTATTAATATTTTATTTGAAAAGAAAACATTTGATCATTCTTATTTAGTATTCTTTATGTAATTTTCCTAGTTAATTTTAAGGGTTATTTCACCTGTGAGGAACCTCTCTTTACCTCTGCACCTTTCAAAAGAAAGGATCTATACCAGATACTTTACTTTGAGTGGGGAACTGGGGAGGTAACTACAAACAAACAAACAATTTCTTTATCCACTTTCCTTTGAGAACTGCTTAAATCTGTCTCTTCCTTTCCTAATGAACATGTTCCAACAGGTTCATATATTTGTTTATTGGGTTACAATGATTGCTTTATTTTGTTATAGTAAATAAGTGGCTTCATTTTAGAGTTTTAGTTGCCTTTAGAGTGTGTGTGTGTTGTTTTTGTTTTCAAATTACATGTTGTCCAAGGCTGTGGGCTAAATGTTTTTGTGATACAAGCAAGAGGCTTTCATGATTCATTAGGGTATCTTTTCTCTCTGCTAAACGTTGTTGTCCTTTTTGTTACTGTTAGTGTTTTATTATACAGTGCATCCTTATTAGCCTGTGGACTTTATCTTCTACACAAAATGGGCAGCCACTCGGCATCCCTTAGCAAAGAGTTTAACCAGCAGAATATCTTAGAAATAAGTGACTTCATTAGGACTTCATTATTCTTACAAAATATGCTATAGTACAGAAATTCCCTTGACTGTGTCCCACAAACCACTACTTGGGTGGAGGGAGGGTGTCTGCAGAGAGAAACAGAACAGATGGAAGGGGCAATGGAATGAAGAGCAAAATTAGACAGTGTGATTAACTTTTCAAAAAGGACACAACATTTATTGCACTAAAGACTTTCAAAAATACATACATTACTACTTTTCCATGTAAGCAATTTCTGTAGTAGTCACAGGAATTTTATGTGATTGCAAGTGGGGGGAGAGGATCCTAATATGACATACAGATGAGGAGGTGATTCACAAAAAATGTATTTTACGGTGTGATCCACATGATGAAAAAGTTGAAGAATCTCTGCAATAGTACATTTCTCTTTATGAAGTATTATTAAAACTAAGCTACAGTGGTTAAAAAAAAAGGGACCCAATACTGTGTGATTTGTGATTCATTATCTTTCCTTTTTATTTTTTAGTGGTAATTGTTCTCTTACAGTTTCACAAAATTAAGTATTTGGAGCATGTAGCCAAGAGCCGGCTCACTGACGCGGCGCCTCCTGCTGGTCAGTCCAGCAATTAGCTCGTCCAGCTCAGGAGCGCCCTCCTCTGGCCAGTTTCTTGCCCTCAGTTACCTTCCTTGTTGTCTCCAACACCCCTGGCCCCGTGTTCCTCCCGGATCTCGGTGCCCCATATCTTGGAGTGCTGCCCCACAGGGGAACTCCAACTCCCCTATACCCACCTTGCCTCAGTCGCTACTGCTAGTCGTCATCTAGCCCCTTCTCTCAGGGGCAAACTGCAGTCTGAAATGGCCACTCATCATTGGCAAGGGGGTTGGACCTGCTGCCTTTTCTTGGCCAGGCAGCCTCCCTGCAGCCCTAGTACCTCCTCAAGCCTTTGCTGCAAGGCCGCAGCCTGGGAGGTCGCCAGGCCAGAGCTCCCCAGCTCAGCCTGCCCTTTCCCAGTACTGCTCTGTCCAAGGTACCCCTGTCTCTAGCAGGCAGCTAAGTCCTTCTTGCTCCACTGCTGGAGCAAGACTCACTTCCTTCTCCCTAGGAGCCCTTCTTATGCTGGCCCAGATGGGCCCTGATTGTCTGCCTCAAGCCCACTCCTGATTGCTTGGCTCCCTGGGGCAGCCCTTTCCCCAGGCTGTTTTTAACCCCTTCCAAACTGGAGCAGGGTGACTGCCCCGCTACAGAGCAGATCTCCCAAAGAACTTTTGAAAATAAATTCTATTGAGAAACAATAGAACTATTCAAACACAATTTTAATAGTTTTAAAATATTGATTCAGTAAATGAGTTATCATTTGACTTCTGCAGACTCGTCCATGAAACTGACAACTAGACAGCAATTGACACACAAAAAACCCCAAAGGCTGGCAAAATTGCAGCCTGTCTGGCGTATATAACTTGAGAACACATTTATTTAAAAATGTCTCTGCTCTGGGATATTTCTTGCATAATGTTTAATTTTTCACTATGTCTGATGATCTTCATTATTTGATATTGATGAATCATTATGGGGTTTTTGTTGGCTGTTGTTTTGAGATGATGGAATATCAAACTTTCTTTAGGTTTTTGTCCCTAACTCTTTTGTGACAACTCTTTTTTTCCACCTTTGCAATTACTTATTATCTGTTGTGCTGCTATGTTGGTATTTGCTCCACAAAGTTTTTCTTGATCCTGTGTTATGACCTGAATGCTTAGGGATGTCTAAACTACCAAAAAAAAAAAAAAAGACCCACCATAGCAGCCAGTCTCAGGGTCCAGGTCAACTGACTGAGGCTTGCACTGTGGCGCTTTTTCTCTCACATCCTGAAACACTACCGTGGCAGCAGCATTTTTGAAACTCTTTCAGAACAGATTTTTTTCTAAATGCCACCAAAGTAGTATTTGCTTGAATTGAAAGGCTCTGCAATAAGAATCTTGATGTTCAGGGATTTGATGTCACACTGATAAGTTATGGTGCTTGGGTGAAGTCATACCTATAAACTGATAATCTTCTATTTTGCAATGTTTTACATGCAGTTACATTAAAAAAATTTGCACATTCATTCAAAACTTGTTAGGGATAATTTTTTTGCGCAAATTCTGTACATGTGGGCAAAATACGGCCAGTTGTTTAATACTAAATAACAGTGCTATATTTTTCATAAGATTAAGCATATGCAAAATAGTATTGGGGCATTACTGTGTAATTTACATTTATTTGCCATTAAGTGACATACCATTATTTATGTTGTTGCTGCATTAGGAAATATACCATCAATGGGACAACTCATGTGGGGAAGGACTGCAGGACTGAGTCCTAAACTCATTTATGGAGAAAAACTGTACTCTTTCTATGCAGACAGACTACAGTTTGTATAAGCAATTCTGCTTTATAAATATATTACCTTACTGTGGAGTCCTTGTTCTCTGCTGTTTTTCTATGAATTATGATGCAATTTTGATGAAATTGCTGCTGTTGTATTTTTAAGCATTACACTGTGCAAGCTGGTTATATGTATTTTTAAAATGAGCTACTCAAAGTAAAAACAAAAGTAGGCATTTTGGTATTCTGCTCAGAACTGTCCTAGATATTTAAAACCTAGCATGATTGATTTATATGCATAATATTAAGCACGATGATTTAATCAGTTAAGGCTTGCTATTTCTGTAGAGCTTACTTTGCAATCTATTGTTGGGGAGGAGGAAGACTGTGTTCTTGTTTGTTTGTTTCAGTTGAATTAATAAATGAAAACTTGATTTCTGCTTCTTTACAAAAATTGAGATATGCATCAGAAAGTTTGTTCTATTTTCCAGGTCTTCTTTATCTTCTCTAACATAGATACACAGTGCAGTGTTTACACTTAAAAAAAAAAAAACCCTCCCAAAACAAATCACTACACTGCACACATGATTTGTCCCCTGGGCAAAGGATGAAAGAAGAAATGTATGTGATATTAATCATGTCACTTAATGCTCTACTGGAAGACACTCGGATACTATGGTGATAAGGACAGTATAAAAATGGATAATATGTAGAACAGAATTCCATGTTAAAGTTTAAATTCCTTAGGGGAAAATTTGTAGGAACCCCAAAAAGGCTAAATCAATGTTTGTTTTTTTATTTTAGAGACATATTACTATATATCTCCTTTAGTTGGTGCCTTTTTCTTGGCTCTGACTCCTATGTGGATTGTAATAGCTGCCAAACATCCAGCTACAAGAACTGTTCTCTATTCAGGGTGGGAGCCTGTTATAACTGCTATGCTTATAAGCAGGTAAGTAATTTTTTTAAATTGTTTCACTGTGCTCCCCTGTCTGAATCTACCTGTTGTCCCTGTCTTATTAACCCCCCCAAACTTCATTAATGCAGAGTTAAAATTGTTCAGTGATGCCTTATGCCCTTCCAGAATGTGGAGAGTGGCTAAACTTAAATCTCTGAAAACCAGGATATACTTTACAGAGTTGAGGTACACCTTACCCCTGCAATGTATGCAACCTTAGTTCTGACCTCCTAGAGCTGGCAGTAGCCACTGAGAATGTTCAGTAACAGGGAGGGATAGCGCAGTGGTTGAGCATTGGCCTGCTAAACCCAGGGTTGTGAGTTCAATCCTTGAGGGGGCCATTTTGGGGTCTGGGGCAAAAATCTGTCTGGGGATTGGTCCTGATTTGAGCAGGGGGTTGGACTAGATGACCTCCTGAGGTCCCTTCCAACCCTGATATTCTATGATTAACAAACTACTAAAGGAAATGGTGGATTTTTCCATCTCTCTAAATCTTTAAATCAAGATTGAATGCCTTTCCGAAAGGTTTGCTTTAGTCAAATACAAGTTGTTAGGCTCAAAACTTGAAATTGTATGGACTAGATAATCTAATGGTCCCTTCTGGCCTTAAAATCTATGAAGCCACAATTAGTAGAGAAGAGGAAGGACTAAGGGAATTGTGTCCATTGTTATGTTGTGTTCCACAGATTTGGATTCCAACAGTTATTTGCATGCATGCCCTTGCATTCACTGTGTTAGGTGTAGCTGTGTTGAATGGTAGAAGGATTAGTTGGAGCGGCTTGCAGATCTGTGACTGTGCTGTGAACAGAGGTGCATACAGTATGTACCTTGAGAGATGAAGTATGCCTCATTTCAGCACTGAATTTTGTGGGTTTTCTCAGTAGCAGTCTTCTTGCCATGGGGATTGTCAGCAGTTTGGTGGCATACATCAGTGGTCCTCAACCTGTTTTCATTTGTGGACTCCTAAAAAATTTTGAGTGGAGGTGTGGACTCCTTTGGAAATCTTAGACATAGTCTGAGGACCCCCAAGGGTCTGCGGACTACAGGCGGAGAACTACTGGTATGCATGACAGTAGTCTCCAAGGCTTAGTGAAGGGTAAGTAAAGACAATGTCTCAGAAGGATTCCCCTGGACAAGGGTGAAGAGGTGGTAACATTCAGCAAGACTGGGGTTGTTTGTGTGTTTTAGGCTCTCGGGTATGTCTGTACTGTGGTTGAAGGTGTGATTGCATCTTGGGTAGGCCTAGCCAAGGTGAACTGCTAGCAGGGGTATAGGGCTGTTTAGCTGGTGGGTAAAATTGAAGCGCCAGGTCTTCTTTTACCTTGGGATAGTTCTACATGTTAGTTACCTCATGGTAAAAAAACTCATCTTTATTAGCAGTGAAGACAAAGCCTGAGTTGCACAGAACAAAAAGAAATGGCGGGAGAGAGGAGGAGCAGCAGCAAAGCGGGGAAGGAGACTCCTTTTCAAGCCTGAGCTGTGGGATCATGGTTGTGGGAATGGCAACGGAGAAGGAGCTCAGTTGCCTGTGATGAAATGGGTACAAGCTCCCTCCTCAGGTCCTCCTACTTGTTGCTCTGGCCCTTTTGAACTGCAGCAATTATGGGCTGGATGTTTATGAAGAGGGAATTGAGGGCTGGAGGAAAGACTGGCCTGTGGGCCAAATGCTTGACAGCTCTGCAGGAACTTAAAATTTGCCAGGGATATAGTGCTCAGGTCAGAAGACAGGATCTGTTTTTGTCTATATCTTGTTTGTAACTAGAGATCTGTGTATTGTATGCTTACAGTGGAGGGAGGTGCAGCTTGTTTTGGAAGCATGTGGACTGTGACTGGAGCATTCAGAAAATAAAGGGACAAGTCCTCACTGACTGGGCAGGGACTGTCTTATGCTATGTTTGTATGGTGCTGATCTCCATCGTTGCCTCTAGGCAGTCCTATAATACAAATAATAAACAGTGCTGGTAATTCTAATGTATAGCTAAAATAGTAATTCTCTATGATTTATAAATCTGCTAAATCTGAAAGGATTTTCACAAGACATTGAAAGACACCTTTTTGACATTAGCACCTCCCTCTTCCAAATATCTGGTTCCTATTTCAAACCTCTCAGGTGCAAAAACTGTTTTTAAAAGGAGCATTGATAAAACTGTGTGTTTTTCACTAATAATCTCCTCAGGAGCAGTGGAACTGTATGCTCAAACTTTCCTTTAAAAAGGGGAGGCGGGCGGGAGGGACAGTGAGAGAGCAACCAAGCATAGAACATTTTCAGGTCACTTTTTGAATAAGTGTTACTAAGAATTTTGAATACTTAAAGATTGATTGATAGAATTTGAAAAATAAATATTGGTGCACCTATTTGCTTTGTTAAAAGAATTTTGAATACTTAAAGATTGATTGATAGAATTTGAAAAATAAATATTGGTGCACCTATTTGCTTTGTTCTAAATGTTGTACTTTATATTTTTCAGCATTGGTGGCCTTATTCTGGACACAACTGTTTCTGATCCTAATTTGGTTGGGATTGTTGTTTATACTCCAGTAATCAATGGTAAGGCTGTAATAGGATTATTTTAGAATAAATATCAACAAGTCTCTATACCTGTTTTATAAAAGATCATTACACTAAAGTTCTGCTGCAGTGGGTGGGTATCTACTACATTAATTTTAAGTTGTAACTTTGGTGTCAGAACAGGGTAACTTAAAATAGTAGCAGTGACTCCTGGTCATATGTACCAGAAACATCGAAGTGCATGTGAGAGAGAGAGGAAAAACAGGAGGCTAGTAGTACATATTTAAAGTTTGTGTAAGAAAGGGGAAAAGTTGAAAGAAAACATATTCAAATACTGTTTTGAAATTATTATGACTGTTAAATATAGGATTCCAAGATGTAATTCTTCAAGGGTTTTCTCTTGGACATATGGGGCAAATTTTCAAAAACAGTCGCTTAAACTCCATCTCCAAAATATGCAGGTGCAAGTATTAAGTGGTAATAATGCAGGCAAAATATAGAAATCATAGAGCAAGTTGAGTGTTGGTTCGTATGCTTGCCTATATGTGCAATTGCATGTACAAATCAAACATTTTGCAGCCATGCAGATATATATTTGTGAACATTAATTAGGTCCATGAATTAAATGTGGATATTTCCTAGATTCTTGTCTCTGAATTAATTCTTTAAGCATAGATGTGGAATGTTGGATTAATTTGTCAGCATATTAAAGTATTTTTTAAAAATAAAATGTCTTGTAAGTCAAGCCCTGCACAGAAACAAAATTTGTATCCGCATCCGATCTGTGATCCACAAACATGGTCTGCGGATGCGGATATCCGCAGATTTGTACTCTACGTAGGCTCTACTTGTAAAAAATATATTTATTTTCTAGTTCCTTTAAACATAAATACACCTCTACCCTGATATAACGCTGACCTTGGGAGCCAAAAAATCTTACCGCGTTATAGGTGAAACCACGTTATATCGAACTTGCTTTGATCCGCCGGAGTGCGCAGCCCCGCCCCCCCAGTGCACTGCTTTACTGCGTTATATCCGAATTCGTTATATCGGGGTAGAGGTGTATTGTGATAAATCTCTGCTCATTTCCATTCATAAAAATATACAAAAGGGAGCGTAAGATTCTTAGGGCTGGTCTACACTACAAAATTAGGTCAGCTTAACTACATCGCTCAGGGCTGTGAAAAATTTCACGTCCTGTGCAATGTAGTTAAGCCAACCTAAGCCCTGGTAGAGACACCTCCAGATTGATGGAAGAATTTTTCTCAGAGAGGTGGATTTACTACAGCGATGGATAATGTTTCCTCTAATTTTTTCATCCATGTGCGGAATGAATTTTTGTATGTGCACCAATATTGAGATAATGTGTGGATGTGCGCCACCAGTAGAAATTAAAAACCTAGATATAATATATATTTTTAAAAAGTTATCATAGGGATAATTACTCCAGCCAAGACAGGTTAGGCATTTTAGAACTCACTACTCAAAGAATTAAATTTAAGCATAAGAGAGAAATAAAATTATGAAATGCATAGACCAGTCAAAAAAAATAAAATAACAGCACTTTGAAAGAATAAAATTACAGAGCATATATGTGCGTTGCAGGAAGTACCAAGAAGTAACAACAAAATAATACAAGTTTGTGTTGGGAGGTGAGTGTAAAAGAGACAGTGTGTGTGTGAGAGAGAGAGAGTGTGTTTTTTTGTGTGTGAGAGAGACAGAGAGACTGTGTGTGTGAGAGAGAGAGAGAGAGAGACTGTGTGTGTGTGTGTGTGAGAGAGAGACAGAGAGAGAGAGACTGTGTGTGTGTGTGTGTGAGAGAGAGAGTGCGTGTGTGTGTGTGTGTGAGAGAGAGAGAGACTGCGCTGTCACTTTAAGCAGAGCGACACTCACCAGTCTGAAAGCTTGTTCAGACACAGCAGCAGCCGCCAGCAGCTCCGTCTCACTCCCTAGTGCTGTTCCCCCCTCACCTCCACTGCTCTGTGGAGATAGGGTACATGAGGGGAGGAGGGGGACACCCTGACATCAGTGCCCCTCCCTTTCCCCTCCCCACTCTGCACAGCAGGCAGGAGGCTCCCAGGAGCAGCTGGCCAGGAGTTCCAAGGCAGAGGGCAGGAGCAGCGCAGCAGTGGGGGAAGGGCACCTGAACACAAGTCGTCATTGCTGAGGATGTGTGCGACTAATAATCAAGTGTGCGGCACTTGATGGACTGTTGTATGGCCACACAGGCGTGCAGCTTAGAGGGAACACTGGCAATGGACGAACCCTTTCTGTCGTTTTAGTGTTTATGCTACAGCGCTGCAGTTGTGCTGCTGTACCATTTCTAGAGTAGACTTACTCTAGATGCCTTTGAATTAATAAACAAGTGAAAATCAGTATCTAACCCATTAACATTCACTTCCTCATTCCCCAAAAAACTCTACCTTCAACACAACTATCCACCTGAATTTCAGTTCCCCTTTCAAGGGAGCTGACTTTCAGAGGATCATTGCTCAGCATTTTTCTAAAAACCAGTTCTTTTTTAAGGTTTTTCAAGTTCGGCATCCAAAATCACATCACTTCTGAAAATCTTGGCCTTAATTGTTTTTCCTGTGGTGTGTGGCTGACAAGCTTCTTGATTCTGGACCTTTATGCAACAAGATCCTGGAATTAATAAGCACCAGAGATGACAGAGCTTTATAAGGCACCCACTGCTTACTATAGTGGCAAGAAACTATAATAGCTGAAGGCTTTGAGGCAACTGGACTATCAGCTAGAATTCTGATCAGTATAACAAAACATTTAAGAGTCTCCTAGCAGACAGCCTTGTGCCAAGTGAAAGTCTTATGTCAAAGAACTAACATCCAGCTTCATCAAGCTTTCACAGTCTTTGCAAAAGTACTGATGGAATACTTCCAACTATCTGTGTAGAACAGTAGTTGATTTTGGAATGGTGAGGTGGAGAACAGGCAATATATTTGTCTTAGTTACATCCTTGCACTGAAGTGGAACACTGCATCAAGACCGCCACAGATGAGTCCCTCCACTAATGTGTCCCTACACTGGGCAGAAATGCTAAAGAGCTGCTGACAGTGGTTGCCACGACAACCTCTGTCAATGTATCAAAAGCACACTAAGAAGAAAGGCCAATAGGTCCCCATGGCAACCTCTCGTGTATCGTGAGGAAGATTTGGCAAAGGTTTTTGTGTCAGTTTCCCTCCTTTGGCAAATCAGTGTTCATTAAGGAGAAACATTGGCCTGACAAGAAACCAATGATTGTTTAAATTAGTATTGCAAAGGCATTACGCATCAATGTTCTCATTTCAGCCAATCTCTGAGACTTGAGCATCCAGTACTCCAGATGTGCAATATGAACTGAGTTTTCCTGCAGTTGAGCTTCCAAGCTAAACAAAGTGTAATTGGGGAGATCCCAATTTTTCAGTTGATGCCACCTGTGTTAAAGTGAGGTGTAAAGAAGTCATGTTGTACCTTGATATAATCGTAACCTATGCTTTCCCCTTTTCTGGGCCTTGGACGCCTCACAGGCTTCTTCTCTTTGAAAGAATTTGAAGGATGTGACAGCATCACCTCTGAGGTGCCATAGCCATCTGAGTCCATACTGACTATCCAAGTACCTGCTTGCTCACCTGGGATACTGGGAGTGTATAGGAGTGCAGATATTGAGGGTTTGGGCTCAAAACCATATTTCTACCTACAAGAATGCAATACATTTTAGATTTCACAGGAGGTTTCACCATACCTACATCTACAAAAGTCTCATCATGCTATGAGAAATTTTCACTTGGGTGCTGTCCAACTAAACCACTAGATCTTAAAGTCCCCTTTTCTTCTGCAGTAGTTCAGGACAGATAGTTCTTGACAAGATTGGGAGTTAGCTGGAAAGATTTGCCACAGTCAGTAGTTTCAGCATAGCAGTTGAAACAGATAAATTCCATTGTAGATAGGTCCTTGTACCACTTTGAGTGGAAGTTGATAAGGTAGGTGGTAACTCTTAGTTCCTGTGGGAGCTCATTCCATAGTTTGGGACCAAACACTGAGAAGGCTCTGTTTCCTGCAGAGACTACCTTTACTTTTGTGGTAGAAAGTTTGAATGTGACTGAGGAGCAGAGTTGTTGACCAGGGTCCTCATCCCAGACCGTTAGGCAGTCTTTTAGATATCCTTGGCACAGACTAAGGACCAAGACCTTGAATTTGAGTCAACATTTTATTGGAAGTCAGTGTAGAGAGTGGCGGACAGATCTGATGTGCTCATGGTAGCCTGCATTGCTGAGGAGGTGTGCAGCTACATTGTGAATTTGGTGTGGAGTTGGTGATTCCTAAGGGCTGATGGCTTTGTGCTCAGGTATATTGCATTTTAGTCCATCCAGGAGGTAAGGAAGGCATGTATAATTGAGGCCATGTAATCATCCACTAAGATGAGACTGAGTTAGCCTAGTCAATCAGAGGTGGTAGAAAATGTTACTTGTAGATGCTGCTATGTGAGAGCTTAATGTCAGTAAATTAATCCAGGAATCTATTTAAACTGCAGACTGAATTGACCAATTGATGGGTGGGTACCTGCAAGCAACGGAGACTGCATAATGGCAGCCAACTTCTCCACCTGGATTTCCTTTGCCCACGTCATCACCTTTTGTCTTGCTTGGGTTCAGCTTCAGCCAGATGTTCTGCATCCCTACGTTGATCTTGTCCAAGCACTGAGCCATCTTGGTAGTAGTGATATAGTCATATATAGTGAAGGATAACTAGAGCAGTTGGCATTCATACTGCTGGCACTTGAGTGTGTTCTCTTACCCTACTCCCCCTAGTAGCTGTATGGAGATATTGAAGAGGACCAGAAATAGAATTGATCATTGTGGGATCTTGCAGATGAGGGGTCTGTTGGCAGAGGTGCAGTTTCCCAAAAGGTGCAACTTGCTTTTGGGTGCATCCCAATGTTTATAGAACCCAACTGATACATTTCCTTTATACCACCTTGGTGGATTCTGTTGTCTCACTGTAGTGGGTCACACAAGCTTTCATGGTGTAAAAATGGCAACCTA